AATCCCAAACCAAATTGGTTTGATCAACTGGCAGATGCTAAATAAATTTTTTTATCCCATCTTTACTTTGAAACTAAAATGTGTAAGTATGGCTTTCACTAATTTACAAATATACTTTCCAGAGCCTTCAAGGGAACAAGAAGGACACATTCTTTATTCTGGAAAGCTCTGAAATAATTAACAGTGGAACCTTACATACAGTATGTCTGCTCAGATGTAAATATTTCAGTGTTTAATTTAATGGGACTTATTCCCAGGTAAATAGGAATAAATTATAACCTAAATCCCAGCATAGGATCCGATTTAGCTGAGGCTGTATATTATTAACTCCTCAGCATTGTTATAATAATAAAATATCCTAATTCTCCGAGAAAAGAGCCTAGATTTTCTATGAATGAGAAAGACATGGAAACATATGTTTTGTAATATTTGTTTTATTTACAAATATACAAGTGTTTCATAATAGAGGTCAAAAGGCACTCTGCTGATCTACTAGTCCACATCAATTTTCTTCGGAGAAACACCTTCACCTTCAGGTGAAGGCAAAGCTAAAAAGGTTGCATTTGGGATGGACCTCTCCTTAGGAAGGAAATAGGCTTTATGCTGTGTTGTTCTAGCTACAAACATGGTGACATCCAGTACAGACAGCAATAGATGATCTATTTATGAGACTCTCTCTCCTTAGTGGTGTCTATCCATCCTGTTAAATCTGGCAGGAGAGGCATGTTGTGGGTCCCATCCACAAGAGAATACCATCTGGTCAGATGTAGGAAGAGAGCTTTTTCTGCCATGGTACCTGTCCTCTGGAACATCACCACCATTACCACCCCCTGGAAATCAGACTTGCCCTGACCCTGCTGGACTTTCCATCAAGCCTGAGGCCCTGATAGTATGAGTGAACCTGTTTCTTTGTTATATTGAGTATGGGATGTTATGAGTGTTCTCGGCTGCTATTTTACGCTATTTATGTTATTTACAATTTTGGTTGTGTTTTTATTCTGTTTTTATTCTGTTTCAATTGTTAGCTACCCAGAGCCATGTATATGAGATGGGCGGCCATATAAAGTTAATTAATAAGTAAATAGGAGTGGGAAATGGCATTTCTATTATTTCAGTACCCTGCAGTTACTTGTTTTCCAAATCTGTGAATAATGTAGGTGTATCAAAATATCTATTCAGGTATTGAGATCAAGAAAATGATCTTTTAGGCAAACAGAACAAAATGTTTAGGATAGGGGATATCAGAAATACCTAAGGAATGCTCAGGTTTGAGGAACAATTTGAAGATAAATAAAACAAGGAAGAAATTGTGAGGAAATGGGATATAGGTAGTCCTTGCTTAACAACCATTTGTTCAGTGACCAAAGTTACGGCAGCACTGGACAAATGGTACTTAAACCCAGTCCTCGAAGTTACAGCTGTTGCAGAGCTCCCATGGTCACGTGATAAAAATGCAGGTGCTTGGCAACCCATCCTCACTTATGACCACAGTGGCATTTCAACTCCCACCTGCCTATGTCCCCCCATCTCTGCTCTTTTGGCTGCCCTGCCCAGCAGCACTCCTCAGTGGCTGTGGCAGCAGTGTTGGGGCTGAAGGAGAGGCCAGGGGCCTTCAGCAGTCTGAGCCGGCCGCCACCGCCCCCAGGCCTCTACTTCATCCCCAGCACCGCCGCTGCCAAGGAGTGCCGCTTCAAGTCCCGTGCTGCAGCCAGCCACCCCAGTGCCACGGCACAAAGCCCCAGAAGCCCCCACTACCCTGCGCTCTGCAGGCTCTGCCGTGCCCAGCTGACCTTCACCATCTTGCTCCTGCTGCTGATGAGGTTTGCCTGGCCTGGCCCTATGCAAGGCAGCTGCTGGCCGCACCAGGCCTTCTTCCCGAGGCTGTGCGTGCCGTTCTCTAAATAGCATGTAACATTCTCAAGATGTTTTGGAAAGTCTTCGGAAAGTTTCTGAGGGCCCGTGGAGCACTGGGTGGCAGGGCAGCTGGGGCTTTGTGCTGTGGTGGCTGGCCGCAGCATGAGGCTTGAGGCGACACTCCATGATGGCAGCAGCACTGGGGCTGAAGTAGAGGCCTGGGGGTGGGGGTGGCTGGCTGAGACCGCTGAAGGCCCCGGGCCTCTACTTCAGCCCCAGCGCCACCGGCACTGCCACCTCCCCCAAGGAGTGCTGCTGTGCAGGGCGGCCAAGGGGACAAGGGGGGAGATAGGCAGGTGGGGGGAGTTGAAGAGGAGGCTCGGGGCTGGGACAGACCAAACTGGGAATGGCTTGGATTGGGGTGGGTTGTCACCTAACGACCAGTGAGATTCAGTTAACAATGGCAACGGGGACTGCCAGGATTGCCATCACTAAGCAACTAAGTAGCATCATGCTTTATGACTGCATCGCTTAGTGACAGAAATTCTGGTTCCAATTACAATCATAATTCGAGGACTACCTGTATCTACAGTTTAGACCAAAGCTCAATCTGCAGGAACAAGCCAAATTTGAAAACAAATTTAAAAGTCAAAACATAAAACAACTAGGGCAAAAAATTTTTCAGCTTTTTAAAATTCTTCTATTATTCACTTTGATAAATTCATGCTTCTGGGAATCTCTGGAGGTGGAATCTCTATGGTTTATCAGTTCAAATATATCAACTAAGGTTTAGTAAAACCATTATTAGCAATCCCATTTCAGCTCAAACAATGGTTCTAATTCTGATTTCTCAGTAGATTGTACATCAGTTTGTCAGTTCACAGAACATGTCAAGCCATAGTTATGCTTCGTCCAGTTGATACCTGAGCCAAGCAAATAGTATGCTTTGTATGAAGTTACAAATAATTTCAGATGGAAAAATAGGGGCAAACAAAATAAAGCAGTCATAGGTGGTACAATGAAAACAAATCTGTATTGTAAGAAGTGAACCGTACAGATCTTAAGAAAATTTACTTCTAGCAATATTATATCTTCCGAAACTGAGTCATAGTAGAGTTTACAGTCATTTCTATAGCATTTTTGTTCCTATGTCATGAAAAACTGTGGGTATTATAGGAGAACCTCTCTGGGACTGGCATTGTTTTTGCTTTTCAATAAGCAGAACTTTAAATAAAAATAAGGACATCAAACACACAAACATTACATTTTCCATTGCCTCATGCCCATCAGTAGCCTAAAACATCTCAGCATAGGCTTCTGTGAGAGGCAAGTGGCAAAACATGTGTCATGACATCACAGTGCAAAATCCACTTTACATTTTTGTGTGCAATGTTGCACTGCAAGTATGGAAGTGTGGATCTTGTGATGTCATAACACATGTTTCATCATTTTGGCACCATTGTGATTAGGAACAGACAGTGTTTCTTAGTACCTGCTTGCAAATTAAGTTTCAGTAGAAGCAGCAGATACTTAAATTGAAGTCATTAAATTAAATCTATGGCTCCTTGTGTGTTAAGTCCTACTTCATAAAGCCCCATGAATCTATCTTTGGGTTGACTGTTCTCATATTAGTTTGGTCACTTTCTTGATCCAAGGCACAAATTTGCTGACTTTTGTGTAAACACCAGGGGAATCTTTTTGCCCACACCCATACCCCCAGGAAGTAATTCCTAGAATTACCCATTGTGTATTTGATCTTTGACACACCAGTGGTCCTCCACTGTCACCTTGACAACTGTCCACCCGGTTGTCTTCAGAAAGGTTTCCAGCACAGAGCATACGATTAGTAAATTTCTTTCCATAACGAGACTTGCATACTTTTTTTGGGAGTAGAGGTACTGTTCCCTGGAGTAATGTCCTTGAGTAGGACCTCCCTGAAAGAAGAATAATGAATATTCATACAACTTGTTACAGAAAACAACAAAATAGGTAGAATAAATTCTTTGCCAAGGTTACAGTTATAACTTTATGCAATGTGGCTTTTAATGATTGTTCATAACGCTTTTTTTTTAAAGTTCATTTGTTTGGAACTATCCTGGGCTCCTGTTTTTTAAACGAGAAGTTCTGATTTAAAACTTTGTTTTTGTAGTTACACTTATTTATTTAAAATATTTTATCCCACTTTTTAAACTTAAAAAGCCTTCAAAAAAACTAACAAAGATAATTAAAATCAGATTTAGAATAGGATCTTTATTTCAAACAATTTAAAATGTGTAAAATACATATTTAAAACATCTATCTATCTATCTATCTATCTATCTATCTATCTATCTATCTATCTATCTATCCATCCATCCATCCATCCCTGCTTTAAGGTAAACTTAATTTAGCCC